TATAAGCAGCCGCTTAAGCCTCATTTAAATGTTACGTGTATTTCTCAAGTTCTCCTGTACATTTCCCCCTTCTCACTTTAACATATTTTGTTTGTATTTTCCTTTTTTTTAGGTTGCAGTTGTTTTGATGGATACCCAGGGGGCATTTGACAGCCAGTCCACTGTGAAAGATTGTGCTACCATCTTTGCTCTAAGCACCATGACTAGTTCTGTTCAGGTAAAACCACTCGACTAGGAAAACACATTTGTAGAGGAAATAAGATGAAGGGGTTACATCTAGTTTTAGTTATTGTTTTGTTATCAGAATTTCTATGGTGATACATAAATGTTCTTTATAGACCACAGATATCAGTTAACCTCTTACAGGCTTAAGAAGGAACCTAAACTGTTTTTCTACTTTGCTCATAAATTTATATAAAGTCTCTAATAAGAGCCTGAAAGTGGAAATTGAAATGACATCATATAGGAAATGTAGATTTGTTAATAACGTAAGAAAACTATATTTTAAACTGTAAAGGAAGAATTATATTATTTCAACCATATAAGAGATAGTTTTCCAAAGGACAGGTGATATTACTGTTGAACAGACTTCATATTTTTATATGTAGACTTTTAAATGTACAAAGCAGTGCTTTAGGCTTATTTGAGTTTGTTTGAAATTAGCTAAAGTATCAATTTGGATGTTTGTTTTCTAGATTTATAATTTGTCTCAGAACATTCAGGAAGATGATCTTCAACAGCTACAGGTATATATTCCTCATTTAAATATCATATATATCTTTTAAAAGTTTTAAGACAGAAAAATTTTACTTGAGTAGGTCCAGCAAAAGAGTGAAATATGGAGGAAGGTTTTTGTTCCTAATAATCCCACACTCCGTATGTCTATCACTGAGGTGGTCAGGGAAGGCCGTAATGAGTTGAGCAGGGAACTAAAGAAAGTGGCCAGTAAGTTCTGTAGACATCTCTGGGGGAAAGTGGCATAGGAGAGGGAACAGCAAGAAGAAAGATTGTGAGGTGGAGTGTGCTTGGCAGGATCAAGAAATAGCAATATATTTCTTTAAAAACAAAATAATTCCTAAACTTTGGCCTTTAATGTTACTACTGGGAATTACTCATGCTTTGTAACCAGTGGTTCTACACCAGTGCCGTGACTCAGTGGTTGAGAGCTGTTGCTCTGTAAAACATTTCCATCAAAACTTATATTTGAGCCCCTAACCGGTTTGGCTCAGTGGATAGAGTGTCGGCCTGCGGACTGAAGGGTCCCAGGTTCGATTCCAGTCAAGGGCATGTACCTTGGTTGCGGGCACATCCCCAGTAGGGCGTGTGCAGGAGGCAGCTGATGGATGTTTCTAACTCTCTATCCCTCTTCCTTCCTCTCTGTAAAAAAATCAATAAAATATATTAACAAACAAACAAACTTGTATTTGAGCCCAGCCGGCATGGCTCAGTGGTTGAGCGTTTTGAACCAGGAGGTCATGATTCGATTCCTGGCCAGGGCACATGTCTGGGTTGTGGGCTGGATCCCCAGTGTGAGGCTTGCAGGAGGCGGCCAATCGTGATCCTCTCTCATTATTGATGTTTCTGTCTCTCTCTCCCTCTCCTTTCCTCTCTGAAATCAATAAAAATATATTTAAAAAAACAAACAAACTTGCATTTGACACCTTTTCACCTGAAACTATTTTCTTTCTAAGTGCCTTCCTCTCATACATTTCTTTGAATGCCCACCTTGTGTGAAGCAGTGGGCATTCAAAGATACAATTGTACAATAATGTTTTAGATACAATAGTGCTTGAGGCAGACATGATTCTTTATGGATTTTGTGATCCAGTCAGTGAGAGAGATACATAAATTAATAGGTGTGGGTGATGTAACAGCACCACAAGCTGGGTGGCTGAAAACAACAGAAATAGGAAATGAAGCCAAGAGAGAAAGGGAGAGAGCTAGAGGAGAGGTGGGGACAGGTGGAGGTGGAGGAGAGGGGGACCAGCAGGGCACAGAAGAAACGGAAAATGTGATAATTCAGGCAGTTTAACATAATAGTAGGTATTTTAGTAAAAGAAAACAGAAAATGGAGGGAAAGAAATTATAAAAGGAATAATATAAGATGATGTTCTAGAATTGAAGGACATGAGTTTTTGTCTTTTCTGCTAGGAGCTTTTTTCAAAGGTCTGGTGGTCCTTGACCCTCTGTAGTTAACAGTGAGCCGCTAAAATCTGACTGGGAGCTTTGGTAAGAGGCAGCCTTGTATACTGTTCTGGATCGCAAAGAAGTGATTGGGAAGATGATTTAGCTATTTGGTTGCAACTTCTATATGTCTATATTTGCAGACTATTATTGTTGGACTCAAATTCCCCAGAGAATTCTTTAAACTGCCTAGGTTGGGAGGGTCGAAGCTTGCTAAGGCTCTAACAGAGTGTGAGGGCTAAAGAGTTTCTCTTTCTCTGTTCAGTATGTTTGTAGACTTTAAGTATCTATCTATCTATCTATCTATCTATCTATCTATCTATCTATCTATCTATCTAAAAGGCCAACATGCTAAGTGTCCCTCCGACTGTCTGACTGGTCACTATGACGCGCAATGCAGGAGCTGCTGTGACATGCCCTGGCCATTTACAGAGAAATGGCACCGTGGACCTGGCGCTGACAAAGCAACACTCTGCTTCCCCCAAGTGGGACACAGGCCCTGCCACTACCCTGGAGCAATAGCCCACCAAATCACAGCCAACACTGCCGAGACCCCATGGTGCAAAATGTGGCCCACAGCCCAGCCCAGCCCAGCCTGGAAACAGTCGCTATGGGTGCCGGGTAATGACGTCACGTAGCAACGCCCGGCTTCCTCTCCCAAGCGACTAGCCTCCTTGGAGTTTCTTCAGCCCAGGAACATGACTTGCTTTATAGCTAGGTGCAAATATTTCACACTTGAACCAAATGTCTGTGAAGCATTTTCCCGTGCCTCATCTCATTTGATCCTCATAGAAGTCCTAGAGTAGGTAGATAGGAGACTTGGTAGAATCCTATTTTCTTTTCATTAGCCAGAAAGCAGAGATTTAGAAAGTTTAGAAACTTGACCTGACTGAAAAGAAGTAAGAAATGGTGGACCTTAAAAATAACTTCAGGTTTTTTCACTGCGCAGAATATAGTCAAACATGGCTACAGTTAAATATTTCACCCTTTGTTCTCCCGTGTGATCTACAATAATAATCTGCTTCGTGTTGATATTTACTGCTGTGTTGCTGACAGTTATCTGAAAGAGAAGTTGGGGTGCTTCACTGGACTGCAAAAAGTTTAGCGAAATCAGAAAGCAGGTCTAATTAAGCAAGTTTGTTCTATATCTATAAAAGGCTAAGTTGACTCGCACATCCACAGTACATATAAAGCTTTCGCTGGTGCCAGTTGCATGCGTGTGTTTCCATCTGTCATTGTCGGAAATTGGTTGACACTTCTATTATAGAGAAAGGGTGAATAGTGATATTAACACATTGCGGACCAGTAGTTTTATTGCTAGCTTTACCCAGTGGCCAGATAAGTTTCTATTGAACGAGTACAAAAAACGTTTTACATAAATGTTAAAGGCACGCTTTAAAATTAAATAACCATTGCATTTTGAAGTTATTACATGTTCTTACAAGCTAATATCTTTTAAAAAAAATATTTTATTGATTTTTTACAGAGAGGAAGGGAGAGGGATAGAGAGCTAGAAACATCGATCAGCCACCTCCTGCACACCCCTGACTGGGGATGTGCCCGCAACCAAGGCACATGCCCTTGGCCAGAATCGAACCTGAGACCCCTCAGTCCGCAGGCCGACGCTCTATCCACTGAGCCAAACCGGTCAGGGCAAGCTAATATCTTTTTAAAGTATTCTCATGATTGGCCACATGCCTTAGAACAGAAACCACGAGAATTCTCGTGATCCGTCTGCAATGTGTTAAAATATTTCTTCTAATTAATTTCCTTTCAATGTGCATGAATCCGTGCACTAGGCCACTAGTTTCCAATAAGGTAGGGGACTTCTCATTCAGCTGAGTTTGGAATCAACATCTATATTCTTTCTGGTTTATCCTCTCCAGAAAGTGTAATTCCAACTTCTGTGGGGGCAGGAAGAGCATGGGGAAGGGAGCAGGATCTGGGAGTGTTAGGTGCTTTCTCCAAAGACTCTCAACCACTTCTTTAGTTATCTCTCTCATCTCTTGCTTCTAATTTCTGAGCCTTTCAGCGATTCCACTGAGAGAATCTGCTTATTTCTGGATGGCCCCTGCCTCTTGCTTTCTCTGTCTTAGGGCAGAGAAAGCCCAAACCCAAGGCACTTCTTGTTTGTCTGTTTTCCTTCCAGTGTTTTTACAACTCTTGTCTGTTGTTATACTATTTCTCATCATCTTTGTCCTGTAAATTTATAACTTTTAACTGCTTTTTGCTGTACTTTTAGTGAGGCTTCATGAAGAAATAGAGGTAAAATGTATGTGTAAACACTAACTTAAAGAATTTGTTTATTCTGTCATTTGGATGACATATATACTGTGGGCCCTGTACTTGTGCTGCTGGAGGTACAATAGTGCACAAAGCAAGCGTTCCTGCTCTCGTGGAGTTTCAGTGCTAGTAGTGAAGACAAACATTGATCACGATAAGTCCTATACAGGTATAGTATGTTAGATAGTGGGACATGTTAAGGAGAAAAATTAAAAAGAGGCATGGGTAGGAACCATTGTGTGGTGAATTGTAATCGTTTAGGTAGGTGGTGGAAGGCTTCATTGAGAAGGAGCCATTTGAGTAAAGACCTTAAGAAATGAGGGACCCGCCCTGGCTGGTTGCTCAGTCGTTATAGCATCAGTCTGCACACACAAGGGCTGCTGGTTCGATTCCTGGTCAAGAACATGTACCTGGGTTGCAGGTTTGATCCCTGGCCCTGGTTGGGGAGCATTCAGGAGGCAATCAATCAATGTATCTCTCTCACATTGATTTTTTTTTCTCTCTCTCTCCTTCTCTCTCTTTCCTCCCCCCCTCTCTCCCTCCTTTCCTCTCTCTGAAAATCAGTGGAAAAAATATCCTTGGGTGAGCATTAGCAACAACAAAAAAAATTAAGAAATGCGGGACCTGACTGCACAGCTATTTAGGGGAAGAACATTATAGGTAGGAAGAGAAGTCAGAACAAAGACCCTAAAGCAGCTGTGTGCCCAGCACATTTGAGGAACATCAAGGAGGGCCAGCATAGTGGCATCACATTATAAGAACTGGCCTTTTATACTGAATGTGGTTGAGGGTTTTGAGCAGAGGCCGGGTGTGATCTAACTAACCTTATTGATAACAGAGCCATGGTGGCTGTTGTATGGAGAATGGTGATGAGGAGGGGCAGGCAGACCAATTAGGAAGCGATTGCAATATTCCAAGCTACATGGAATTTGTGAGTGGTTGGATTCTGGATTTGCTAATGAATTGGGATGTAAGACAGATCCAGGATTATTTTAAGGTTCATGGCTCCTGTGGGCTTTGAAACTGTAGAACTTTGGTTTCATATAAGTAGGAGTCAGGTCTGTTAAATGAATACTTTGATAAAGAATAGCCACAGAAGGCCCCCTCCCTCCCAGGGTGTCTGCGCCTTTCCCTCCCCCCACTTCATCCCCCACACGCCTGCATCTCCTGAACTCTGAGGGACCCCCCCCCAAAAAAAAAAATTGCCACAGAAATACTTTAATTTTGCCTTACAAGCCATAACTCTTCTTCTTCTTTTTTAAGCTCTTCACAGAATATGGTCGTCTGGCAATGGATGAAATTTTCCAAAAACCCTTCCAGGTAGAATGTTCACTATAAATGCCACTCAAATCTTTATTTTAGTTCAGAGATCAGCAAACTGCAGCTCACAGGCCAGTTCTGGCCAGCTGCCTATTTTTATGTGACCTATGAGTTAGGAATGGTTTTTACATTTTTAAATGGTTGAAAGAAATCAAAAGAGGAATACTATTCTATGACATGTAAATTATCTGAAATTTTAATGTCAGTGTCTATAAGGTTTTATTTAGAACACAGTTATACTTATTTGTATTGCTCATGGCTGTCTTGTGCTACAGTGGCCTAAAATATTTACTCTCTGGCCATTTACAGAAAAAATTTACTGATCTTTGTTTGAGCTAATTATTTCATGAGGATGGGAATGCATAGTAACCTGAGTAAGATTAGAGGAGCGTTAAGTATTGTTTTCCTTTCCATTCTAATGTGGAAGGTAGATCTGATGTATGACTAGCGAGTGCCATACTACGCTCCCCATCCTTTCCTTTGGCACACTTGTTTATAAGGCTTCAGAGACATCACAGAATAGCTCAATCCTTCAGCACGTTTTCTTGTCTCCTTTGAAGAAGCTGGCATTGTGCAAAGGAGTACTTACATTGTAATTTTGAAAATGCATTTATGCAACATTACAATGTGTGCTGCTCTTTTCCTAAATAGACACTGATGTTTTTGGTTCGAGACTGGAGTTTCCCTTATGAATACAGCTATGGACTACAGGGAGGAATGTCATTTTTGGATAAGCGTCTACAGGTAAGTAGAAATATAATATGGGAATTACCTAAAAGCAGTGATAGCTTTCTCATTTGCCTTAGCTATTGTATTTCAAGCAGATTACAGTTTGTTAAATACTATGCATGTTAACACACACTAATATTACTCATGTTTTGAAGAACCTGGGTATACAGTGCACAGGGATTGTGGAGAAGAACTCTGGGCAGAAGCCCCAGCTTTGATTGTAATTCCATTTCACATTGCACGTCAGGTTCCACATGTGTCTTTAGAATGTCACATTCAGAACTTCAGTCTGTTTTTCTTGTTCAAAATTCTTACGTGTGTTTTTTAAAAAAATATATTTTTATTGATCTAAGAGAGGAAGGGAGAGGGAGAGAGAAATAGAAACATCAATGATGAGAGAGAATCATTGATAGGCTGCCTCCTGTACATCCCACACGGGGGATCAAGCCCACAGCCTGGGCATTTATTGCTTCTTAGGGTTCTGTGTTTTCTTTTTTTTTTTTTTTCTGAACTTTTTTTTTTTTTTAAATCTTTATTGTTCAGATTATTACATTTGTTCCTCTTTTTCCCCCCATAACTCCCCTCCTTCCAGTTCCCACCCCACCCTCCACCCTCACTCCCCACCCACTGAGTTCATCCATAGGTGCATGATTTTTGTCCAGTCACTTCCCGCATCTCCCACACCCCTTTTCCCCTAAGAATAGTCAGTCAATTCCCTTTCTATGTCCCTGATTCATTATAGTCACCAGTTCATTCTGTACATCAGGTTATTTATTCACTTGATTCTTAGATTCATTTGTTGATAGATGCATATTTGTTGTTCATAATTTGTATCTTTACCTTTTTCTTCTTCTTCCTCTTCTTAAAGGATACCTTTCAGCATTTCATATAATACTGGTTTGGCGGTGATGAACTCCTTTAGTTTTTCCTTATCTGTGAAGCTCTTTATCTGACCTTCAATTCTGAATGATAGCTTTGCTGGATAAAGTAATCTTGGTTGTAGGTTCTTGGTATTCAGCACTTTGAATATTTCTTGCCATTCCCTTCTGGCCTGCAAAGTTTCTGTTGAGAAATCAGCTGACAGTCGTATGGGTATTCCCTTGTAGGTAATTGAGCCTCTTTCTCTTGCTGCTTTTAAGATTTTCTCTTTGTCTTTTGCTCTTGGCATTTAATGATGATGTGTCTTGGTGTGGTCCTCTTTGGATTCCTTTTGTTTGGGGTTCTCTTCGCTTCTTGGACCTGTAAGTCCATTTCTTTCTCCAGGTGGGGGAAGTTTTCTGCCATTATTTCTTGAAATAGGTTTTCAATATCTTGCTGTCTCTCATCTTCTGGCACTCCAATGACTCTGATATTAGTCCGCTTAAAGCTGTCCCAGAGGCTCCTTACACTATCTTCACACTTTCGGATTCTTTTTTCATTTTGCTTTTCCAATTGGGTGTTTTTTGTCGAATCTTTGGTTTGATTCTTGTGCTCCTCTGGTCTGCTATTGGGTATAATATTCTTTATTTCAGTCCGTGTATGCTTACTTTCTAATTTCTTTATCGTAGCATCGAGGGTCTCATTAGTTTTCGTGAGGCTCTGCACAAATTTATGGCAAGCCCTCAAAATTGCGATTCTTAGCTCCATATCCTCCATTTCTGTCATGTTTTTTTGTCTCCGCATCTTTTATGCTTTCTTGGTGCACCCCCTTGTGGTCTCTGTGCGCAGTCTTGTTCTAGCCAAGACTTAATTGTTGTAGTTAACACTAGAGGGATTTGACCACCAGGCCGACTGGCTGTGGAAATCAGCTGTGGGAAAACTTCAGTCCTCTGGGGAGGCGCTAGTCCAGCCCTTGCCTGAGGCGATCGGCAAATGGCTGTGCGCAGGGCCTGGGCGGGGCGGGCTCAACAGGGCGGGGGGAGGGAGCAGCTATGGCCGCTCTCAGTCCGTCCCCAGGGGCTCTGCCTCTCTAGTACCGCCGTAACCGCTGCAAACCTCGGAGGGCCGTAGCCAGA